ATTCTCCTGGATCACAAGACGCTCTCGTATGCCGCGGATTTGAATGCGCGGTGCGTCTCGTGATCTGCGTGTCTAGATGCCTACCTGGGGGAGCGGTGGTGCAGCGGTTAGCGCGCTTGCTACGCTGCAAACCCAGCCACGCGGGTTCGATTCGAGCTCACGGCCAACACCAGTGACGATTGTCTGAATTGGTCCTGAGCCTCCACTAGGTCGACTCGGCCTCAAATAAGTACCTGGTGCGGTGTGGTGCTGGCCACCCACCCCTCGTGTCGGCACCCACGTGAGCTCGCTAACTGCACTTGCCCCAACAGTCTGTTCAGACTATACGGGGGAGTTTTACCTTTGTCTAGATGTGTACCGCTATAGCAGCATTGACACCGGGGACGCGTTTTGTTTCTCGCACAGCCCTTTGACTCCCGGTCCGTTGCTGGATGATGCACGTACCGTGAATGCAATAACGTCCATCCCTCTAGGCGATCCACTGCTGGATGGATGAAGGTTCAATTCCCCTCGCCTCATTGTTGACCACAGCGCTGGACACAGCAGAGTAAGACGAACAAAACTAATTGGAAGAAAAAAATTAACCGAGATGATGATGATGATGATAACACAATAATTCCTAATAATCATAATAACCGACACGTTCTCTCACAAGGCCCTGTTTTTTTTTGTATTTTTTTATCCGCCACTTGTAATAGCGGCGTATGCCCCCTCTAAAGGGCCACTTGTAGAATACAATGGAGGCAATGAACACGCCACAATTACCTTGCTGACAGATGCGCGGTAGACTTTGAGCTACCACCCACACGCCTTGCCACCCACCCTCCCCACCACCCACACGCCTTGCCACCCACACTCCCCTCCACCCACACTCCCTCCCACCCACACTCCCCTCCACCCACACTCCCCCACACCCACGCTCCCCTCCCCCCACGCTCCACCCACACTCCACCCACACTCCCCTCCACCCACACTCCCCCTCACCCACACTCCACCCACACTCCACCCACACTCCCCCCCACCCACGCTCCCCTCCCCCCACGCTCCACCCACACTCCACCCACACTCCCCTCCACCCACACTCCACCCACACTCCACCCACACTCCACCCACACTCCCCCCTACCCACACTCCCCTCCACCCACACTCCCCTTCACCCACACTCCCCCCCACCCACACTCCCCCCCACCCACACTCCACCCACACTCCACCCACACTCCACCCACACTCCCCCCCACCCACGCTCCCCTCCCCCCACGCTCCCCCCCACCCACACTCCCCTCCCCCACACTCCCCCCCACCCACGCTCCCCTCCACCCACACTCCCCCCCACCCACCTGAGCCATGGACTATCCACGGCTGGCTCAGTGCATCCCCCCACCCCCCCAAGCCCGCCGGGCCGCCGCTACCATTTCACGATCCCGAGATTGTATTACTAATTATCATCATCGATCATCATCGATTTTCATCATCAATCTTCATCGATTATCATCAATCATAGTCATCATCCACCGAGCGAGCATCTTGCACGTGAGTTGATTCAGCACTCCACCTCCTCCACCTCCTCCTCCTCCACCTTCTCCTCCACCACCTCCTCCACAACCTCCTCCACCACCACCTCCACCACCTCCACCACCTTCTCCACCACCTCCTCCACCACCTCCACCACCTCCTCCACCACCTTCTCCACCACCTCCTCCACCTCCTCCACCACCACCTCCACCACCTCCTCCTCCACCTCCACCACCTCCTCCACCTTCTCCTCCACCACCTCCTCCACCACCACCACCACGTGGGCTTTCGCGACCAACACGTCTCTTCATCATCATCATCATCGTTATTAATTTCGCGACCATATTCTCAGGCGAACGTGATCCATTGTAACTTTTAGGAGGACTACATTAACCCTCTCTCTGGCCTTCGCAGCTGATAGGCTCACAGTGATGAGGTCACCTGTACTCCTCTATTTGAGACCGGAAACGGGAGGACGACTTGGTCACTCTTCTGGCTATCACCTGGCGAAGCTGGTTGTCGTTGTTGTTGTTGTTGTTGTTGTCGTTGTCGTTGTTGTTGTTGTCGTCACCAGCGACACGTGACGGTGCTCACAACCGGTGCGCTGAAGTCGTAACTCACTGGCACGTTCCGTTTACGCGACGAACTTGACTCCAGTAATTGGCTGTGTCGGGTGGTGGCGGGTTCAACGACACAGTTTTATTGAGGCGATCAAACCCAAATCAGCAACGGCGTCATCATGGATCCCACGCACGCGTCTCCCCCCAGCGCTTCTGCGCGCACCGCCTTTAAGGGGGTTTCTGGGCATCCCACGATCTCAATGTCAAGGACTGTCTCTGGACAAAGACAAAAACGAGCACCCCACAATTCGCGTTGTGCGATGTTGCGGTGATGTGGATGAACGTGTCCCGCCGAGGGAATGTGGAATTCCCGCTACTGCTGTTCTTTTTTTTTGCTGCTGCTGTTATATATATTTAAGATGGCTTTAACAGTGGGGTCGCGACCCTGGATTACGAACAATATTATAAATCGTTAATATTATAAGTTATTAATAATAGAAGTTATTATTTTGAGACGTTTTTTTTATTTTAGTAAAGGAGCGGTGGCGCAGTGGTTAGCTCGTCTCCGCGGTGGCGACTGATAGTCGAACCAATTGCCGGGGTTAGACCTCCTTCACCCGACAAACACGCACCCGCGTGGTGAAGTATGGTCAAACAACGCTCACGATCGACACGGCGTGGGAGGAGAGGAGGCCTTCATCCAGCAGTAGATAGATCAACGCGACACGAGCGCTGTCGGGCACAGCATTCAGCGCAGCGTGTACGTTACGTTCATGAATGTACGGCACTACATATGTATACGTATGGGGAGCGGTGGCGCAATGGTTAGCGCGCCACGCTACGGACCCGACGACCCAGAGTTCCACTCCCGCTCACGGCCATCAACACCAGCGGTAGCGATTGTCTGAACCGGTCCTGGGTTTCCCCCTATGTCCACTCAGCCTCAAACGAGTACCTGGTGCGATGTGTGTGAACATCGCCACCGGGGAGACAAAGGCGGCCGAGCGTGCTGCTGGCCACCCACCCCCTCGTTGACAGCACTTGCCCCAAACGTCTATCAAGGCTACACGGGGGGTTTTTGCCTTTGCTGTATGTTTCTGGGAGAGCGTCTATGTGCGTGCGATCTGTGTGCATGTGCGTGTGTTTGTATATACCTGTGTGGATCTGCTGTGTGTACACACACACACAGAGACAAATACAAATAACCCCCGTCTAGCCTCAAACCTGTCGGGTCAAGTGCTGTTAGCACGGCACACGAGGGGTGGGTGGCCTCCAACCACACCCGACCGCCTTTGTCTCCCCTGGGTAGCGATGTTTACAGACTGCGCCAGGTACACATTTGAGGCTGAGTCGACCTCGTGGGAGGCGCAGGACCGGTTCGGATAATCGTCGCCGGTGTTGGCCGTGAGAGGGGGAATCGAACTCGCGAAACGCCGGCTTCGTAGCTGCAGCGTAGCGCTCACCGCTACCACTCCCGCTCAGTATACACACATAGACACACACACAGACACACACAGAGACACACAGAGACACACAGAGACACACACAGAGACACACACAGAGACACACAGAGACACACACACACACACACACAGAGACACACACACAGAGACACACACACAGAGACACACACACAGAGACACACAACAGAGACACACACAGAGACACACACACAGAGACACACACACAGAGACACACACACAGAGACACACACACAGAGACACACACACAGAGACACACACAGAGACACACACACAGAGACACACACACAGAGACACACACACAGAGACACACACACAGAGACACACACACACAGACACACACACACACAGACACACACACACAGACACACACACACAGACACACACACACAGACACACACACACAGACACACACACACACACACAGACACAGACACACACACACAAACACACAGAGACACACAGAGACACACACAGAGACACACACACAGACACACACAGAGACACACAGAGACACACACACAGAGACACACACAGAGAGACACACACACAGAGACACACATCAAAACAAAGATCCCCCGTATAGCCTTAACAGACTGTAGGGGCAAGTGCTGTTAGCGAGCACCTATGAAGGCCGGAACGGTACACGAGGGGGTGGGTGGCCAGCACCACGCCCGACCGCCTTTGTCTCCCCTCATTTAAGGCTGAGTCGACCTAGGGGATGCCCAGGACCGGTTCAGATAATCGTCACTGGTGTTGGCCGTGAGCGGGAATCGAACCTGGGTCGCCAGGTTCATAGCGCAGCGCGCTAACCGCTACACTACCGCTCCCCATTCACACACGCACACAGAGACTCACACACGCACACAGAGACACACACACACAGACACACACACAGAGACACACACACACAGAGACACACACACACAGAGACACACACACAGACACACACACAGAGACACACACAGAGCGCGCCAAACACACACCCAAATCTACCGGAATGGAAAAAAAAACCCCACACACGCACACACAGAGACGTGAAGCCAACGAGAGAGGGAGGGAGCGAGCGAGAGAGGAGGAGGAGGCGGAATAACAAGAAAGCCATGTGTAGTGTTTGACAGCGTTCGAGGGATCAGCCAATGGGCGTGCGATCCCAAAGCGAGGCGATGCCCGCGTGTGCAGGCAAGGCGCAGAGCGAGAGGTAGCGTGGCTGTGCGTGTCTGCGTCAGGGCCACACGGGAGATACACACGGGAGGGATACACACGGGGGGGGTATACACACCGGGGGTGATACCCAGAGGTACCCAGGGATACCCAACCAGAGATACGCCGCAGAGGGGGGTTCACGGGGAGACGCCGTGCAGAGTGGAGACTCCGAAAGGGAGCAGGGACATCACGAACCGGGGTGGGGGGGGGGGGGTAGAACGAATAGGAGCGTGGACAGGGAGACAGGGAGGCTTCTGTTGGGGATAGAGACGAGACAGGAGGAGACACGCGGAGACACGCGGAGACAAATTGCATCCTCGAGTTGCGAACTGTTGTTGTGTCGTCCCGCGGAGGAGGCTGCGTGCGGATGCGAGAGTGCAACTGGCAAGGTAAAACAAGTTGCAGTTGATCTCTTTACAAAGGCAAAAGTGTTGTTGTTGTTGTGGTTGTGCCGGTTGGTTCTGTTGCGGCTGCTGTTGTTGTTGTTGAGGTCTCTTGCACGCTCGCAGCACTTTCCCCGACTGCGTGTTGGGGGGCGACGACTTTGTGTGCGCGTGGAGCGGTGGGCGTAGTGGTTAGCGCGTGCTGCGTTACGAACCCCACCGACAGCGCTTTTCGATATTTGAACCGGTGCTGGGTCTCACCCCTGGGTCGACTCAGCCTTATTTGAGTACCCGGTGCGTTGTGTTAAGCATCAGTACGGTGGGGGGGGAGAGACAAAGGCGGTCGGTTGCGGTGTTTGGCAAACTTCGTGTGCAGTGCCGACCCTCATAGGTGCTGCAACTCGCTAACAGCACTTGCCCCAACAGACTGGGGGGGGGGTGATCAGCAGCCCCCCACAATCTACGAGAATAGTTTTATTTTGCCGATTTGCACGCACAAAGCGCTTGGCTCAAACGAACCACAACTAACGTCGATCTCGTCAGGGAGCTATACACCACCCTCACGTGAGCTCCAGAGGCTGAACCGTCGGACAAAGACGGCGGTGACCACCGAGTCGTCGCGCGGCGCTTTCAGATGCGCTTCTGCGGCCGTCTGGAACGTTCTTTTCTTCCGATATTTGGGCAGCCGCTGGAGCTACGCGCTTTGAAATCTACGTTGAAAATTGATTTCTTTCGAGCAGCTTTTGTTGACGGGAGTTTCCTGTCCTTGCCCAGCACCTCCGATTAGCGCGGTTGGCTACGTACGGTACAAAAGAAGCTCAACATACATACACATAACTGTGCGTGTCTGTGTGGTGGTGTGTTTGCAGTGTGTTGTATGCATGTGTCTCTGTGTGTACGCACAATGTGTGCATGCACGCATGCATATGCACGTGTGTGTATGTATGTCTTTGTACGTGTGTGTGTGTCTTTGTACGTGTGTGTGTGTATGTGTCTTTGTACGTGTGTGTATGTGTCTTTGTACGTGTATATGTGTGTCTTTGTACGTGTGTGTATAGGTGTATTTGTGCGTGTGTGTGTCTTTGTACGTGTGTGTGTGTCTTTGTACGTGTGTGTGTATGTCTTTGTACGTGTGTATGTATGTGTCTTTGTACGTGTGTGCATGTGTGTATTTGTGCGTGTGTATGTGTGTCTTTGTGCGTGTGTGTGTATATGTGTGTCTTTGTGCGTGTGTATATGTGTGTCTTTGTGTGTATATGTGTCTGTTTTTGTACGTGTGTGTGTATGTGTGTCTTTGTTCGTGTGTGTATGTGTGTCTTTGTACGTGTGTATGTGTGTCTTTGTGCGTGTGTGTGTGTGTGTGTATGTGTCTTTGTGCGTGTGTGTATGTATGTGTCTTTGTGCGCGTGTGTGTATGTGTGTTTTTGTACGCGTGTATGTATGTGTCTTTGTACGCGTGTATGTATGTGTCTTTGTACGCGTGTGTGTATGTGTGTTTTTGTACGTGTGTATGTATGTGTCTTTGTACGCGTGTGTGTATGTGTGTTTTTGTACGCGTGTATGTATGTGTCTTTGTACGCGTGTGTGTATGCGTGTTTTTGTACGTGTGTGTGTGTGTCGTTGTACGTATGTGTGTGTGTCGTTGTACGTGAGTGTATGTGTCGTTGTACGTGAGTGTATTTGTCTTTGTACGTGTGTGTATGTGTGTCTTTGTACGTGTGTGTATGTGTCTTTGTACGTGTGTGTGTATGTGTCTTTGTACGTGTGTATGTACGTGTCTTTGTACGTGTGTGTATGTGTCTTTGTACGTGTGTGTGTATGTGTCTCTGTACGTGTGTGTGTGTATGTGTGTCTTTGTACGTGTGTGTATGTGAGTCTTTGTACGCGTATGTATGTGTCTTTGTACGTGTGTGTGTATGTGAGTCTTTGTACGTGTATGTATGTGTCTTTGTACGTGTGTGTATGTGTCTTTGTACGTGTGTTTATATCGCTCGGCACTGATGTGGGCGTGTAGACCTTAATAGGTGCTCGCAAACAGCACTTGCACCCAACATCTTATATATATATACACGGCTACACGGGGTATGTGTCGTTATTTTGTTTATATATATATACATATACGTATGTGTGTACGTAAAAATGTTTGTCACTGTATGTAGGTGGACTCAGCCTTAAATGAGTACCTGGTGCGGTGTGTAAACATCGCCACTGGGGAGACAAAGGCGGCCGGGCGTGGTGCTGGCCACCCACCCCCTCGTGTGCCGTGCCGGCCTGCGTAGAAGCTCGCGAACTGCACTTGCCCCAACAGTCCGTGCGGGCAATCCGGGGGAACTTTATCTTTGTCTCGGCATGCTGTTTGTGTCATCTCCTGAGATATTTGACCGTACGACAACGACCGCCTTTCGTCACTAAGTGGCGGTGACGTTGCCACGACGCTTGTGCCAGGCTAGGTGCACCTTGAGGTGTATTTCAGCATACCTCTGTACACGCTGCACACGCGTGTACACACACTCTGCACACACATCACACACGCGTGTACACACACACACTGCACACACACTGCACACACATCACACACATCACACACGCGTGTACACACACACACTGCACACACATCACACACGCGTGTACACACACTCTGCACACACACTGCACACACACTGCACACACATCACACACGCGTGTACACACACACACTGCACACACATCACACACGCGTGTAAACACACTCTGCACACACATCACACACGCGTGTACACACACACACACGTGTACACACACACACTGCACACACACTGCACACACATCACACGCGTGTACACACACACTGCACACACACATCACACACATCACACACGCGTGCACACACACACTGCACACACATCACACACATCACACACGCGTGTACACACACACACACGTGTACACACACACACACATGTGCACACACACACGCATCACACACATCACACACATCACACACGCGTGTACACACACACACGTGTACACACACACACATGACACACGCGTGCACACACACACGCATCACACACATCACACACATCACACACGCGTGTGCACACACGTGTTGTGCATGCGAGTCTTGTTACTATTGAATGAAGCACTCAATTACCGCTCCGCTCGCTTTTTTTCCTAAATCAGTGGAGCGGTGGGCGCAGTGGTTAGCGCACTGCGCGCCTATTGGAACCCATTGGTTTGATTCCCGGCTAACGTCAGTGTCGAGCGATGTCCGTGCCGGTCTCGTGCCTTCTCTACGTCGACTCGGCCCCGAAAATGAGTGAACGCCATCAAAAATGAGTGAACACCACCCCAGACGCGGGCGTCGTGTTGGCATCTCCCACGGTGGCTGATCGCTCACGGCACTTGCCCCAACAGTCGGCCGAGGCTGTGTGGGTGACCTCTGTCTTTGTTTACATACAAGTACGCATGGCTAAGCGTGAGTCAGTCTCCCCCTTTTCGCCTACTCAAGCAGCCGGCGATTTGTGCGAATAACCGAGATTGCGTTTAGGAAATTAAAATTATGAAACTCTTTAAACGATTAAAAAAAAAAATTCTTTCAACCTGGTAAGGCATCACTAAGCTGTGTAGAGCTCTTTGTCAGAAACGACCTGGCGATCACAAATGATCGCTAAACGAAGTGGGCTTCTCATCATCATCATCATCGCGTGGAAATGTCGAGCAGCCAAATATACTCTGAACGCGCGGTGTTGATTCTAAACGTGGAGGGGGGAAAGCCGAAAGATTCCGTCCGTAAACAAATCCGCGCGAAACACGTGGAGAGAGAAATAGAGATCGATGCAAACTCAAAATATACAGCAGGCGTCAGGGTCGGGATCGAACGCACGAAAATCACCCAGTCAACAATCGTCGAAAACTCTGTAAATTGTGTGTTTGTATTTGTGTTGTTTGTGTATATGTGTGTGTGTATCTCGACTCAAATGAGTACTGTACCGAGTGCGGTGGTGTAAACATCACCACGGGGGAGACAAAGGCGGTCGGGCGTGGTGCCGGCCACTCACCCCCTCGTGTGCCGTGCCGGCCTTCATAGATGCTGCTCGCTAACAGCACTTGCCCCAACAGTCCGTTAAGGCTATACGGAGGATCTTTGTCTTTTTATCTATGTACGTATGTGCGTACGCGTGTGCATTTGATGTACAGCATACTCGATGTATTGCGTGTCTTATGTTAGTAAATGTGTTTACGTTTATTTTCATGATTTACGGTTTTTTCTAGGGCGCATTTCATCCGTAGATTCCAATGTGCCAGTAAGGATAACGGATGTAGGTAAGTTAGGAGTGTTTACACGTATCACGGGTTGTATGCGTGTGTGTGTGCGTGTGATGGTTTTTTTGTGTGGGGAGCGGTAGTGTAGCGGGTAGCGCGCTGCGTTACGAACCCGGCGATCCGAGTTCGATTCCTCGCTCACGACCGATACCCGTGACAATTATCTGAACCGGTTTTGGGCCTCCCCTACGTCGACTCAGCTTCAAATGAGTGCCTGGTGCGGTGTGTAATAACGTCACCACTAGGGAGACAAAGGCGGCCGGGCGTGGTGCTGGCCACCCACCCCCTCGTGCGCCGTTCTGGCCTTCATAGGTGCTCGCTAACAACACTTGCCCCAACAGTCTGTTAAGGCTACACGGGGGGTCTTTGTCTTTCTATGTATTTGCTCGTCTGTGCTCGTATTTACGTGGGGAGCGGTGGCGCAGTGGTTAACGACCGTTCATTTTACACCTCGGGTTTATATCTGTCGGATTTGTCGACGAAATAAATGCACGTGATTCTTTGTATTAATCCCTCCACGCGCCATTCCAAATCCTCACGACGGTCTCTGTACATCGCACGGATCTGTGCCGTGCTGCGTATTAAGTGTACTGCCTCCTGGCCTCTGGACGGGTTTGAAAATCGACAGCATCATCGGTATGGCCATCGTCATCGTCGTCGTCAACCGGCTCGCGATCCTGGGATGTAACGATTTGTCCGGC